TTTGGCGGGTCCGGGCTGGGGATTCGAACCCGCCACCTTAGGTGTACGTGGCTGGCGCCTTAGCCGGTTGAGCTATAGGCGCCGAGCCTGAAGGATTATTCTTTCCAGGCAGAGATGGGGCCACATGCTGTACATGTGCTGTACTGGTGTCCTCCCTGGAAGAGAGCTAGAAGTTTGGGTGCCGGTGGTGGGGGTGGTCTGTGTGCATTTTCTTACTGTGTAGTCCTCTTGTGGGCATGCCACCGTCAGGGTTGTCCCAGTCACACTAGGGGCTACAGTGGCCAGCCTTCCTGGATAGCTGGGCTGGGGCAGGGTGAAGTGGAAGTCGGCAGAGTTGGAGCCACATTGTCGCCCTCCTGATTGGCCGAGGCTGGACCGGGTCACAGCCCTGCCGCCATCACAAACCCGAGCGCATTCTCCTGGTTACGGTGGAACCTTGCCCCGTGGCCTCCAGCCCCCGCATTGTATGAGGGTCTGCACGTGTCTGGGTTGCTGTTGGCCTTGCCGCCCTGGCTGCCGAGTCCCTGTTGTAGCTGTTCTGTGCGAGGATCGTTCGTTACACAGTTGCCATAGCCAGGAATAGTGGACAGGCCAAGCGAGTTGGCCCCCACAAGTGGTAGTTGGTGGTCAGGTGGCCGAGTCCTCTGGCATACTCACCTCTACCTTGGAGCAGGTGGTCTGTGCCTGAGTTACATCCCCTACCCTCCTCTTCTCCTCAGTTGGAGAGGGCAGTGGCTGCAGAGTCTTCCTGAGCAAGGTCATTGTTGGCTCAAGCGGCTTTTTGGACAATTACCTGCCTGGGCGGTGGGAGGGCAGCCAGACATTGCCCCTCAGGAGCCCACTGAGGCTGGAGGGGTGGCCTGGTCCCAGCAGCAACAGCCTGTGTCCCCCAACCCTACAGGTGTTGCCTGGTTGGGCCGGAAATGGGATGCCATGTCTCCTCGGGGTACACAGAAGACATGAGGGCCTCTCTGAGCTGCTGCTGTGAGGGGAAGTGAGTGAGCTGCCAGAGGATGTCCACCGCTGCCACTGTCGCCCCTGCGGGGATCCCAGCGGCCCCGGGCCCTGTGAACCCACCCCCCCCAGAGGTCTCCAACCCCAGCAAGCCCGGCCGCAAGACCAACCAGCTGCAGTACATGCAGAACGTGGTGGTGAAGACGCTCTGGAAACACCAGTTCGCCTGGCCCTTCTACCAGCCCGTGGATGCAATCAAGCTGAACCTGCCGGTGAGCAGACCCTGTCCCAGCCCTGCTGTCAGCACCTGCTGCCCCAGAGTGGACAGGTGCTCTGGACGAGGCCAGCAGGGCATGGGAGGCAGAAATGGGAGACCCTGTGTGCCTCCAGGGTGGGTGCGGGGCAGATAGCGATGGGGCCTCAGGAACAGGGGCCCCCCCAGTCCATATTTCATCCTGCTGTGGTCTAACTGTGTGCTGAGTATGCCTTAAGGCCTGCTTTCCCTGAATGTCTCAGGAAAAGCCCCCATCAGCACCTGGTGTCCTGATTGTGGACCTGGTTTGGTGGCTGGTCACCTTCAGGTTTAGACTCCCTGGAGGGAACTTGGCCCCATCTCTAGCATGTAGACTGGCTCCAGGGTTCTCCCAGGAGAGAGGTTGGGCAGAGGTTGCAGGTGGCCAGAAATGACCCAGGCCAGCCCCGTATCACCTCACTGGGAAGACCATGCTGTGTCCCGGGAGTAATGAAAATTACTGTGTAATGCTTTTGAAAATCTCTCTCCTAGGATTATCATAAGATAATAAAAAACCCAATGGACATGGGGACAATTAAGAAGAGATTAGAAAATAATTATTATTGGAGTGCAAGCGAATGCATGCAGGACTTCAACACCATGTTTACAAATTGTTATATTTATAACAAGGTAAGATGCATACGAAGTAAGGATCTGGGTCCCAGGCAGGTCGTCCCGGGCACTGGACAGCAGCTCTCGGGTGGCCCAGAGTGCGTTGCACCCTCAGGCCTGGTGTTCTCTGGTCCTGGTCCATGATTCCCACATGGCACCTGGGTCCTGCTATGGTGGGGAATGGAGACTGCAGGATTTTCGGAGGAGAGGATGCACCCAGACGCTCTGAGACATCCTTGCCCTTAGTCTTAGACATTCTAAAGGATCAGTGCAGGCTCCCGGGGTGGGGGATACAGCCCCCACGTGCATCTGGGTAGGGGACTGGCCGAGTAAACTGATTTCCATGGGCAGCTGCCCAGAGTGACGCAGATGCTGTCATGGGGAGGCCACCGTCTGTGGAACAGTGTTCAGGGAGAAGAAGAGATTTGGGGAGTTGCTTGACTTGTGGGTTTTTTTGTTTCTATAATAGTGACACGAATAAAGTAAAGATGAACAGGAATGCTGAGTTGTTGAGGCTCTTTTTCTCCATTTGATGGGATGAAGGCTGAGTTTTGTTTTTCATGCTTTTCTGTATTCTAAAATTTTCCACATGGAAATTTACACATGGCTTCCTCCTGCTCTACCACATCTCTTAAAAACTTTTAAATAAGTGTTTTCTCAAGCTTACAACCCGTGCTGTGTTTTGCAAGCATTCAGCTTCCATCCTGACAAGTGACGGGGCTCTCTCTGTCTTTAGCCCACAGATGACATAGTGCTAATGGCCCAAGCCTTAGAGAAAATTTTTCTGCAGAAAGTGGCCCAGATGCCCCAGGAGGAAGTTGAATTATTACCCCCAGCTCCCAAGGGCAAAGGCCGGAAACCGGCTGCGGGAACCCCAAGTGCAGGTAAAGGGGGCGGGGGGCAGGTTGGGGGTGGGGGACTCTGTGCCTGAACATCCAAGCCCAGCTCCCTGCCAGGCGGGCCAGGCATGGTGAACGGGCAGGTGCTAGTCTTGGCTCTGGTGCCCAGTAGTTACCCTGGATTAAGGAGGAATCGCTCTGGAGAGGAGGTTAAGGTCTGGGGGAGACTCTGTGTCCCTATTCTCTACCTCCCAGCCCTGCTCCCCCCCAGGCCCCACACCTGTGGCTGCCTCTCCATGTAGCCTGTGGCCTTTGTCTGCTAGGTCTCTGCCTCCTTGGGGATCTGCCCCGACCCTGGGTCCAGTAGGATACTGTCTCCCCACTGGGGAGTACAGTGGTGCCCCAACCCTGGGTCCAGTAGAATGCTGTCTCCCTATGGAGTATGCGGTGGTAGTGATCAGTACTCTGAGCCTGCCCCGACCCTGGGTCCAGTAGGATACTGCCTCCCCACTGGGGAGTACAGTGGTGCCCCAACCCTGGGTTCAGTAGGATACTGCCTCCCCATGGAGAGTGCGGTGCTAGTGATCAGTACTCTGAGCTCTGGGTCCAGTAGGATACTGTCTCCCCATGGGGAGTACGGTGCTAGTCATTAGTACTCTGAGCCCTGGGTCTGACTCTGGGTCCAGTAGGATACTGCCTCCCCATGGAGAGTGCGGTGCTTGTGATCAGTACTCTGAGCCCTGGGTCTGACCTGGCCTGGGAACCTACAGAAGAGACCTGTTCAGTGCCACGGGACATCTAGTGCTGCACTTGGGAGCAGGTGGGTAGTTAGGGAGGGTCTGTCCTCAGTTACTGAGCAAGTTTAATGGGGCCTGAGTTCAGTCCCAGTTTTCTCAGACCCCAGGGCTGGCTCCTGACCTCTTTTGGACTGTGGCCAGAGGGTCCCTGCTCATTCATGCAGTGAGCACTTGGCCAGGATGCACTGGATTGACACCCCACCCTCAAGGTGCAGGGCCAGGGGTCTGGCTGAAGGGTACTGTCCTGGAAACTTCTGGAAGTACTAGTGGAGCCCACCTGGCTGAACCCCCCTTCCTTGTCTCAAAGGTACGCAGCAAGTGGCGGCCGTGTCCTCTGTTTCCCCGGCGACCCCCTTTCAGAATGTGCCCCCTACCGTCTCCCAGACGCCCGTCATTGCTGCCACCCCTGTTCCAACCATCACTGCAAATGTCACATCGGTGCCCGTTCCCCCGGCGGCTGCCCCACCTCCGCCCTCGACACCCATCGTCCCTGTGGTCCCTCCCACACCACCTGTCGTCAAGGTGAGCGCCCTGAGCCAGAGGGGCCAACAACAAGGTTGGCTGGGGTCTGAGCCTGGCCAGGGGTTCTGAGTTCAGGGCAGGTGTGGGCAGGCAGCAAGCTTGGTCCCCCTTCATGGAGTGCCAGCCATGTGGAGTGCTGGCCATGTGGAGTGGTTCTCTCTGTGCCCTGGGAGGTCAGGCCTTTGTTCCTGGCTCAGGAAGCTGAAGGTCACACAGCTGGCGAGGGCCGGGCTAAACTTGGACCCCAGCTTCTCTGGTCCTTGCAGCCCAGCGGTCAAGGTGGGGAAGGTGTGGGAGAAGCGAGGGCAGGAGGGGTCCCATCCTCCCTGCTCATGCCGGGCAGAGTAGTGCCCAGTTGCACTGCACTGGTGTGTCAGGAGCCACTAGCTCCCAACTTGGCTGGGGGCTTCTCACAGTGGGTGCTGGCCTGGCCTAGACCCGGCCTCTAGTGGGCGCTCCCTACAAGGTCTGGGGCTAGCGGGGCCTGTCGAGTCTCAGCTTGGAGCAGGGCCTGTGCCACATGCTCACGTGTGTTATCTTCTTCGATTTGATCCTCACAGCGGCCCTCGGGGCAGGCAGTATTTCCCCCATCTTACAGATGAGGAAGCGGGCGCTCAGAGGGGTTTAATGGCTCGCCCAAGGTAAAATGCCGCCTCCCTTGCTCTCCTCCCCATGGCCTTCACTGCCTGCACTTCTGGGCGGCGCCTGGCCAAGCGCCTCCCACAGCGTGGGGCTGTTTTTGGAGCATGTCCCATTTGCCACAGCCAGATGAGCCCGCCCCCGCCCTCTGCGGCACGCGCTTGGCGCTTGGCATCCCGTGGGTGCCTGTTAAGTCTTTGTGGGTAGCCAGCTCCTGTCCCTGCCAGACTGAGGACAGCGGCTGTGGGGCCATGGCCATGAGCAGCTCCAGAGAGCAGACCCCTGTGGTCTGGGAGCACGTGGATCCCGCTCGCTGACTCCTCTGTCCTCCGAGCTGAGATAAGGAGCAGCTTATCTTCTGAGCTGGTCCCAGTGTACACATCAGGCCCTGCTCTGGAAGGCTGCAAGTGATGCCTGTGGGCCTTGGGACTTCCCAGAGAGACCTGCACACCCTTGGGATGCCTGGCATTAAACACAGCTCCCTCATCTGGCAGATGCCTGTGTTATCTGCCTGGGGCCCAGCTCTGCCTCCAGGACACACCCACAGAAGGCTCTGGGGGATCATCTCACTGTCCCCTGCTTGAAATAGCCCTCTGTGGCCCCCAAGCCCTTCAGGATGGAGTCCAGACTCACCCAGTCACTCATGGTGCCCTGGAGTCCCTTGGTCCCAAACCTGCTGTGGCTGCTTTGTGTCTCCTGGCAGGCTGGCCTCTGCCCCCCACCCCTGGAATGCTCTCCTGCCTCCCCTGTCCTGTGCAACTTGTGTTTGTTCTTGGAGCCCCCAGCTCTGAGGCCCTCACCTGAGACTGGTCTTTAGAAGCAGAGAATTCCACCCAGGTCTCTGAAGCCCCAGTGTCCTAAGTCCTGGCCCGTGGTGCTTATTAGGTGTCGGGTGACCTGCATGTAGCACCTCATGGCTCTGGGCGAGATACACGTGCCCATCTGGGACCGCCAAGCCCTTGGGGCCCTGGGAGAGCGGTGCCACTCCACGCTCAGGCGTGGGTGAGTTTCAGAGTCGAGTCTGAGTTGGAGTCCCAGTCTCACCACTGCCAGCTGTGTGACCTTGGCCGGTACCATGGCCTGTGAGCCTTGTGTCCTCTATTGTAGGGGCAGCCGGGAGGATGACAGGGCCTTGCATGGGGTCGCTGGGTCTGGGTCTGGGGCCTGGCAGGGAGTCAGCGCTGCGGAGGCACAGCTGCAGCTGGACACGTCCTCACAGCCGAGTCCTGGTTTCTGTACTCATTTGTTGTCTCACTGTTACAGAAAAAGGGCGTCAAGCGGAAAGCAGACACAACCACACCCACAACATCCGCCATCACTGCGAGCCGGAGTGAGTCTCCTCCGCCACTGTCAGACCCCAAGCAGGCCAAGGTGGTGGCCCGGCGGGAGAGTGGGGGCCGCCCCATCAAGCCACCCAAGAAGGACCTGGAGGACAGTGAGGTGCCCCAGCATGCGGGCAAGAAGGGCAAGCTGTCAGAGCATCTGCGCTACTGTGATAGCATCCTCCGGGAGATGCTGTCCAAGAAGCACGCCGCCTACGCCTGGCCCTTCTACAAGCCGGTGGACGCCGAGGCCCTGGAGTTACACGACTACCATGACATCATCAAACACCCCATGGACCTCAGCACCGTCAAAGTACGTGGCTGGGTGGTGGGCCGTGGGCAGTGAGCCCCTGGGCCCTCCTCACCCTGTCCATGTAGCCCCAGTGTTGGAAGAGTTGGCTGTGCTGACATCCTGCGTCTGTGCCAGCCAAGTGGGGAGTATGGCCTGCCCGCTGGGCACATGCACACCCGGGGCGGGCCTGGGCGGCCTCAGCTATGGTCTGGCAGGGGTCAGGGGAGGAATGTGTGTCCTGCTTGCTGGTCACTGACCGACAGCTTCATCACTTCTTGTTCCCGTTGAAGCCAGATTGTGGTTTTGCTCATTTCCTTCCAGTCTCCTACTCCTGTGTTCAGCATAAGTTGTAAGGCTGCGCACTCCTTCTCTCTGGCCCCAATGTGGGTACCTCACAGCAGATGAGACCGTTGCGTGGCCAGTAGGGACAGGCCTGGGCTCTACCCTGTGGCTGCCATCAGTCCTAAATAGGGTGGCAGAGCTGAGGCCCAGAGCCCTGGCTGTCCAGCCCCATGCCTGGGCTCTTGGGCATTGTGCTCTAGGTCAGAGCATGTCTGGTTCAAGCAGCACACGTTGGGCCTAGGTTGGCCACGACCATGTTGCAGAGGCCTCCTAAGAGGCAGTGGCTGAAGTCTGGGAAGCTCCTTCTGGTTTCCCTGGAGCAGATGGGAGGTTTCTGAGCCCCCAGCCCCTGCCCTCCCTCTGCGCCAGGTGCAAGGTGCTCCAGCAGTGGGGGCAGGTGTGGCCCCCCTCCTCCCGAAGCTGCTGTGTAGCCCCAGGACAGTGGGCTCATACCAGAGGGTACCTGTTCCTTTTCATCTTCGGGTTCTGGTTCTGTAAAGGCAGGTCTGAACCACCTGCCTCGTTTTCCAGAATTAACCTGGGGCAGGATCTCTTGGCTAATGCCTTCTCTTCCCCTGGTTGATTGTGGATTTCAAGAGTATCAGGGCCAGGACAGACCCAGCTGTTCACAGCCCCAGAGCCTGGGGCTCATGCAGGAGAAGCGAGAGAATGGACTCTGCTGTGCCCCCCTGAGGTGGGGAAGCTGAGGCTGGACCTGCACCACCCAAAGGGTTTGTGCATCGCCACCATGTCACAGAAATAGGAGTTGTGAGCCAAGAGTCAAAAGGTCAGATTTGCCCTTAAGACCCTAATAAGGAAGATTGAAGAACTAGTGCACTGTGAAGCCAGGATTTGCTTTGTTCAGAGCTTCCCATCCACATCACCCGTTGTGACCTGGGGAAGAGCATGGTGCACCCCAGGACCTGTTCACCCAGCACAGGCCTTAGGAAGGAGCAGGAGGCAGTCCCAGTGTTGGGAAAGTAGCACACAGCAGGAGAAACACCCTTGACATGGATAGTCTTAAAGGGTGAAGTTTTGTGGGAAGTTTGTCCCCCAAAAAAGAGAAAGAGGAAAAAAAAGAGATAAGACTCTCCCAATATATTGCTCGGCACCCGTAGCACAGTGACCAGCCACATACACGAGAGTGGGGGGGTTCAAACCTGGCCCAAGCCAGCTAAAACAACAATGAAGGCGCAACAACAACAACAACAACAAAACAGCCGGGCATTGTGGCGGGCGCCTGTAGCCCCAGTTAACTTGGGAGGCTGAGGCAGGAGAATCACTTAAGCCCAATAATTTGAGGTTGCTGTGATCTGTGACACCATGGCACTCTACCAAGGGTGACAGAGTGAGACTCTGTCTCAAAAAAAAAAAAGAAAGAAAAAAAAAGATTTCCAACACCAGAAAGTGTTCAGGTGCCCCCAGGCCTCTCTCTGCCAGCTCCCTGGGGTGTTCCAGACTGGGGTTGCCGCTGCGAAGGCTGGATGCAGGCAGGTAGACCCTGACTATTCTGTCTTGTTTGCACTGAGTCCAGCAAAATCGTGAGGTTTAGGGAGGGCTTGGGGTGAGGACTTGGACCCCATGTCTGTGTGCCCCTTCTCTACTGGAAGCTGTCCTGAGATGGAGGCTCATCCCTGGTAGGCAGTGTGTCCTCCATTTGTCCCTACTGTGAGTCCTCAGTGACCACTGTGAGTTATCACGGGTCCTCTGTATGTTGGGTGTGCCGGCCTACTCACTGATTGAGCCATTCTGTATGTGCCCCAGGCCCTATGTGGAACCACCTGCCTGGCCTTCCGTCCCCTGCTTACCAAGCCCCAAAAGGATCTGCAGTGGGTTTGACCGCAGGGACCCTATGGTGGCCTAACAGCCTCTGTCTTCTCTGCTCCTGCAGGAGTCAGGAGCTGCCACTGGGCACGTTGTGCTATTTCTGAATTCCATCTGGGGGCTGTGGGACGGTGAGGAGTTTCTGTAAGAAGCAGGCTAGACTCCTTAGAGGAAAAATTAAAGGTTTCATTTCTCATAGAGTACCTTTTCCTTCCATCCAGGGATATGTGTCTGGAGTCCCAGACTCTCCCAAGCCACCAAGTCACCATGTTGTCCCCTGACTCGGGGCTCCTGTGTGTGAGGTCTGGAGAGCAGGCTTGATTGGCAGTGCATGGTTCACCCTGGCGGGGTCTGGCCGAGAGTGCAGATGCCAGGCCCCGCGGCCGCGCTCACCACCCTGTCACTGTGTGTTGCAGAGGAAGATGGACAGCCGCGAGTATCCAGACGCACAGGGCTTTGCTGCCGACATCCGGCTAATGTTCTCGAACTGTTACAAATACAACCCCCCGGACCACGAGGTGGTGGCCATGGCCCGGAAGCTGCAGGTAACCTGAGGCTGGGCACAGGCAGGGTTAGCGGCTCAGGTTGGCACTTGGGAGAGACTTGAGTGTCTTGTCCTGCCCAGGGGCCTCAGGGAGCCTCCTTCACTCAACACGGTTTTCTTTCCTGAGTGACAACCAAGTCCCTGCTGGGCTGTGAGTGGGTTCCTGGGACATGGGGGTGAACAGGCAGCCTCTGCCCTCCAGGGGCTTCAGGCTGGCTTTGGGGGGAGCCTGTGAGTGGCTGGCCTTTCATCTGGGCTCTGACTGCAGAGACTGGCACATACTGCCCATGGAATGGCAGATGTCCACTTTCCTGTGACTGTGTGAACTGAAAGTCCCAGCGTGTCTGTTTGTGGCAGGGGAGGAAGTCAGAAGCTCGTTGGCAAGGATCATGGATATCAGCTTAAGTGGCAGTTCCTTTGTAGTTTTTTGCTTTTCTGACAACGAAAGTCAAAGGCCTATACGTTATAGAAAATATGGTGACAGAGGGACATGTTAAGGCAAGACCAGAATGTCTTGGTCTGGCCTCTGGCACTAATCTCCCTGCAGGAGGGTGATGGGTGTCTGTGTACACGCTCCTGAGTCCAGGCACTCAGACGTGTTTCCGTGGGTATGCCACGGAACAGTGTGTCATGTCTGCTCTTCCTTCTTAAAACTGACCTGGTAGGTCCTGTTTTTATAAACAACAGTGCCAGTATTTTAAATGTTAGATATTCAGAAGACCTTTCTTTTTCTTTTTTTTTTTTTAATTAAATCATAGATGTGTACATTAATGCAGTCATAGGGTACAATGTGCTGGTTTTATATACAATTTGAAATATTTCCATCAAACTGGTTAAAATAGCCTTCATGGCATTTTCTTAGTTATTCTGTTAAGACATTTATATTCTACATTTAGTAAGTTTCACATGTATCCTTGTAAGATGCACGGTAGGTGTGGTCCCACCAATTACCCTCCCTCTCCCCATCCTCCCCCTCCCCCTCCTTTTTTTTGAGACAGAGTCTCAAGCTGTCGCCCTGGGTAGAGTGCTTTGGCATCACAGCTCACAGCAACTTCCAACTCCTGGGCTGAAGCGATTCTCCTGCCTCCACTTCCCAAGTAGCTGGGACTATAGGCACCCACCATAATGCTGGGCTATTTTTTGGTTGCAGCCATCATTATTGTTTGGTGGGCCCAGGCTGGATTCAAACCTGCCAGCTCAGGTGTATGTGGCTGGCACCTCAGCTGCTTGAGCCACAGGCGCTGAGCCCAAAAGACCTTTCTTTAGAGGAAAAAATAAAAATTACAGACATTTATCCACCTCCAGGGCTGCTGTCTTTCAGAAGGACCAGAACACTGTGTAAGGTGTTCTCAGCCCCTTGCTCAGAGCCATTCTGGAACCCTGAGCAGTTTATGGCGTTATCTTAGAGGACTAGGACTCACACAAGGGATGGTGCTTCCTTCCTGTGGGTGGCCGTGCCAAAGGCTGCTCCTGCTCTGTGCTGGGTCCTGCTGGGGAGCATGGCAGAGTGGCCCTAGGAGTCCCATTGCACCCAAATGAGCCACCAGGAGCCCCTGTTTTACCCTGAGACTTTGGGACTTTGCTGTGTCTTGAAACCAAAAGGATATATATATATATATATGTATTTTAAGATAGAGTCTCACCTTGTCACCCTGGGTAGAGTGCTATGGTGTAATAGCCCAAAGGAATCTCAACTCTTGGGCTTAGGCAATCCTCCTTGCTTTAGCCTCTCAAGTAGACTCTGAGACTATAGGCACCTGCCACAATGCCCAGTTTTTCCATTTTTAGTAGAGATAGGGTCTCACTCTTTCTCAAGCTGGTCTGAAATTCCTGAGGTCAAGCAATCCACCCACCTCGGCCTCCTAGAATGCTTTGGTTGCAAGCATGAGCCATTGCACCTGGCCCCAAAAGGCTTTAAGACACAGCTCTTTGGATCCTGGTTAGTTCCCCGCTGAGCTGGGTGACGAAGCCAGGGCCATGGGCAGCGTCAGGCTTGGCACGCAGAGCACAGAGGCTGACAGTTCTGACCCTGTTCCTGTGGGACTTGTGGTCTGTGGCAGGGCCACACTGGCTGATGACCCTTTGTTGCTGCAGACTAGTTAGTAGTTGCTGCTATCAATTTTGTAAATTGAGCCCAACAATAAAATGACCAAAACGGCCTTCCAGACTCTCTGTTGGCTGAGAGCAGTCTGTGTGGCAGCGGCTTGGATGAGGCTCTGGGTGGACATGCCTCTGGGGAGATCAAGCCTGGGGACAGAACCCAGAATGGGCTTTTCGGAACGCTGAGCTCCAGGCTGGGAAGCGGGGTCGTGTTGTATGTGTGCAGATCAACATGGATTCAGGAGTGTGAGTTCTACAAATCCACATCTCCCCTATCTGAAAGGATCCTGGGCTGCCCAGAGGAGATGGCCCAGATCCAGGTGCAAGGGGCATTCCCGAACTGGTTGTGATAGGACAAGGTGTTTGCCTTCAGAGCTAGTTTTTGGAGGTTTGATGCTGCAGTAAAATTATAGGGTAAAGGGTGGAGGTGGGGGTGGTTGGAAACTGGCTTACAGACTCCTGTGGCCAAGCCCTGTCAAAACTCAGAGGAGGGGCGGGGCGTGGTGGCTCACACCTGTAATCCTAGCACTCTGTTAGGGCGAGGCAGATGGATTGGCTGAGTTCATGAGTTCGAGACCAGCCTGAGCCAGAGCGAGACCTTGTCTCTTAAAAAAAAAACAGCCAGGCATTGTGGCAGGTGCCTGTAGTCCCAGCTACTCAGGATGCTGAGGCAAGAGGATCACTTAAGCCCAAGAGTTTGAGGTCGCTGTGAGCTGTGATGCCACAGCACTCTGTCAAGGGTGATGAAGCGAGACTGTCTCAAAAAGAAAAAAAAAACTCAGAGGAGGGCACCACTGCACAGGGAGGGCGGCCTATGGAGCTCGCATCCCCTAGAGGAGGCACATGGAGTTTGTGCCAGCATAGGACTTGGGTCTGTGGATAGTGGGCCTCTGGGCCTCTGAGCTCCTATAGGGGGAGGCGAGGGAGGGTCGATCCGGAGCAGCCCCCCAGGTAGCCCAGGTAGGTGGGGCCTGGCCTCTAAATTGGGCCTGACCTTCCTGCCGGAGCACTGGGGCCCCTGGACTGCCCCTTGGGCATCCAGGTCCTCAGGGTGGCTCCTGCTCTCCCACAGGACGTGTTTGAGATGAGGTTTGCCAAGATGCCAGATGAGCCGGTGGAGGCCCCCGCACTGCCAGCCCCTGCGGCCCCCGCGGTGAGCAAGGGCACAGAGAGCAGCCGCAGCAGTGAGGAGAGCTCATCGGAGTCAGGCAGCTCAGACTCGGAGGAGGAGCGGGCCACCAGGCTGGCGGAGCTGCAGGAGCAGGTGGGGCTGGCCATGGCTAGGACATCTGGTGGGGCAGCCCGTGATCTGCCTCTTTCCTGGTCTTCCTCACACAACCCGAGTGCCTACCCCAGATCTGGGAGGCATGAGTCTGACCCATGGGCATGTGTGGGTGGCTGCGTGGACACGTGCCTTGGAGTGGGGCTCAGGTCACTTGTGCCTCATGCTGTCTGGAAAAGTCTGGACGGCACTTGTAGAGGCCATGGCTCTGCTGTCCGAGCTGTCGCCTGTAGTGGCACCTAGTGCAGGTGTCAGAGCTGCAGCCAGCCACCCGTCCATCTGTCCCCACCTCTGACTTGCCCCAGACTAGGCTGTCCTCTTTTCTGCTATGCTTCCTTCGTTTGCAATTTGGGGCTTGTATGACCACCTCTTTGAGTTGATGTGAGGCTAAAGTGAGAGAAATGTAAATTGTTATCCCTGAGCATCTGAGAGCCAGCCATGGCCATGGTTTTTGGGACCTCAGACAGGGAGAAGACGGGGCAGAATAGCTAAGTTCGGGAAGTGGCTCCCAGGGCACGTGGGCCATGAGTGTGAGAGAACCCTGCAGTCACAGGCATTGGGCTGGACATTGCTTTTGAGATGGTGAGGACACTGCAGGGAAGGTGGTTCTTTCTTCCACCTGGAGGGGGATAGCCTCCCCTCACCTGTATGTGGCCGCCCTTGGCATGCCGCCAGCTGCAGGGCAGGTGCCATCAGATTGTCTTCTGCTGGGCCCAGCTCACTGTGCTCCCACAGACCTGCTGTGTGATAGCAGATGGCTTCCCCAGGATTGCCAGGGCTGAGCTCCCTGCATTTGAGCCCTTGGAGAGTCTTCCTCCTCTGGAAAATAATAATAATGATAGAAATGTTGGCTGCCATTATTGAGTTCTGGTTGTGCCACCTGTTCTGTACTGAGCCAGGCTCCTCGTCCTTCTGGTAGAGAAGGCAGCTGTAGCAGAGAAGCTTCTCTACTCCAGGCAGTTGTGCAGGAGCAAGGGGCCGGGTGGGGCTTCAGAACGATCTGCCCAGGTCTGTCTGGCTCCCCAAGGCAGAGGGACATGGGGGCTTCAGGCTTACTCACCCACACAACTGAGGCAGTTCTGAGGACACCTGAGTTCACTCATCATCCTGTGGCCCTTGGGTGCGGGGCTGTGCCTTGTGACCACTCAGCCACCTTCTTTCTTCCAGCTGAAGGCCGTGCATGAGCAGCTGGCCGCTCTGTCTCAGGCCCCAGTGAACAAACCAAAGAAGAAAAAGGAGAAGAAGGAGAAGGAGAAGAAGAAGAAGGACAAAGAAAAGGAGAAGGAGAAACACAAGGCAAAGTCCGAGGAGGAGAAGAAGGCCAAGGTGGCCCCACCTGCCAAGCAGGCCCAGCAAAAGAAGGCTCCCGCCAAGAAGGCCAGCAGCACGACCGCGGCCGGCAGGTGGGCCAGCACGTGACCTCATAGATGCTAGCACAGCAAGAGTGCCAGGTGGGGGCTTAGCCCCAGGAAAACGGGTGGGGTTGCAGGGAGCAGTGGGGAGGACACTCAGCTGCGTCTGCGAGGATGGACCCCTGACTCTGGGCAGAGCATTTGGCGCCTGGTATGTATACCTTGGAGCTTTTGAGAGGTTCTCTTGTTCTGAGCCAAGGATCTCTGTTGGGATCTGGGCTCACCTAGGAGGCAGGGCTCAGGGCAATGAAATGGAGCCTCGATGCAGATCCAGCCTTCTGATGCAGCCCCTGCTGGGGCCAGGCACAGCCCTGGGACAGACCTGCCATGGACAGGCAGAATGTGGCCAATGGGAGAGGAGCTGGGGGCTGGTGTCCTCTTCCTTCCCCAGGAGGAGGTGACAGCTGTGTAGGTGCAAACTTGGCAGCACTGGGTCCAGCAGGGATTCCAAGAACAGGGCATGGCAGGCACAATCCTACAGAGCACAATGCCTCTGAAAGTCAGGACGAGGTTGGCACCTCTGTTGGAGAACCAGCATGGGGGGAGTTAGGAAGGGTTTGATCCCGGCCAGCATGCAGCGCAGCTCAGCAATGATGGGGAACAGCAGAGAGGACAGCCCTTGGGGGAATTGCCGTCATGCAGGTTTGAGAACTGCATGGGAGGCAAGGTGGGCAGGCTTGGTCTTGTGAGTGGGAGCAGGGGAGCGTGCAGAGTCCTGGGAGGCCGGGCAGCTGGGCAGGCTGCTAATGGGGACAGGGACTCAGGGGACAGAGCAGTCGGAGGGTGCTTCCTTCCCTGCTCTCTCGCCTTCCTTCTCTTTCTTCTTTTTGCAGGGGGATACAAAAATCAGTGTTCCTTGTACAGGTTGAGTAAACCTTGTTCAAAACTCTTGGGACTAGAAGTATTCCGGATTTTGGAGTTTTTCAGATTTTGGAGTATTTGTATGGCCCCAACTATTGAGCATCCCAAATTTGAAAATCTGAAATCCAGGGTGCCCCAAGGAGCATTTCCTTTGAGCATCTCAATAGCACTTAGAAAGTCTCAGATTTTGGAGCATTTTGGGCTTCTGGATGTTTGCATCTGGGATGTTCTCTGTCTTGGTTTTGGTGTGAGTATAATGCCGACCTCAATAAGAACTGGGCATGATGGAACATCCTGTAGTAATTAGGGCCAATAAAAAGTAGGCTGGAGAGTGTCCCTCTCTTCTGTCTTCCGGGGGAGAGTTACAAGATTGGTATTAATTCTTACTTGTTTGATAAAATTCACCAGCAAACCCATTTGGGCCTGGAATTTTGATTGTTGGAAGGTTTTTAACCACTAATTCAATTATTTAATAGATATAGGACTGTTAAGGTTGTCAGTTTCTTTTTGAGTGAGTTTTGGTGGTTGATGTCTTTGAAGGGATTTTTCCATTTCCACCTAAACTGTGGAATTTATGGACTTAGGTTTGTCTGTAAAACCTAAGGTGATGTCTTTTCTTTCATTCCTTATATCAGTAGTTTGTGTTCTTTTTCTTGGTGAAGCTGGATAGAGGTTTATCAGTTTTATCAATCTGTCCAAGAATCATCATTTGATTTAATTTCATGGATCTTTCTTTCTTTCCTTCCTTCTTTCTTTTTTGGAGATAGTTTTTCTCTGTCACCCCTTGGTAGACTGCCCTGGCATCAGCCTAACTCACAGCAACCTCAAACTCCTGGGCTGAAGTGATCCTCCTATTTCAGCCTCCTGAGTAGCTGGACTACAGGTGCCTGCCACAATGTCCGGATAATTTCTCTACTTTTAGTAGAAATGGAGGTCTCAGTCTTGCTTAAGCTGGCCTTGAACTCCTGACCTCAAGTGATCCTCCTAGCTCACCCTCCCAGAGTGCTAGGATTATAGGCCTGAGCTACTACATCTGGCCTCTTTTTTAGTTTCTTTCTTTCTTTCTTTTTTTTTTTTTTAGAGACAGAGTCTCATTTTGTACCCCTCCATAGAGCGCTGTGGTATCACAGCTCACAGCAATCTTCAGCTCTTGGGCTTAGGTGATTCTCTTGCCTCAGCCTCCCAAGTAGCCGGGACTACAGGTGCCTACTTAATACCCAGCTGTTTTTTGTTGCAGATTGGCTGGGGCCAGGTTTGAACCCACCACCATTGGTATATGGGGCCGGCGCCCTACTGACTGAGCCACAGGCACCGCCTTCTTTTTTAGTTTCTTAAGGTAGAGTCTTAGACTTTAGACCTTGTTTTTTTTCGAGACAGCGTCTTACTGTGTCGCCTTGGGTAGAATGCTGTGGTGTCACAGCTCACAGCAACCTCAAACTCTTGGACTTAAGCTATTCTTTTGCCTCAGCCTCCCAAGTAGCTAGGACTACAAGTGCCCGCCACAACGCCCGGCTATTTTTTGTTGCAGTTGTCATTGTTATGTAGCTGGTGTGAGCCGGGCTCAAACCTGCCAGCCTCAGCATATGTGGCTGGTGCCGTAACCACTGTGCTACGGGCGCCGAGCCTCTTTCTTTTATTTTTGAGACAGAATTTCTCTCTGTCACCCTGGGTAGAGTGCTGTGGTGTCCTGGCTCACAGCAACCTCAAACTCTTGGGTTTAAGCAATTTTCTTATCTCAGCCTTCCGAGTAGCTGGTTACTTTAGGCGCCTGCCATAGGATCCAGCTAGTTTTTATATTTTTAGTAGAGATGGTCTCAAGACTCCTGAGCTCAGGTAGTCTGCCTCCCTTGGGCTCACAGAGTGTTAGGGTTATAGGCATGAGCCACCGAGCCTGGCCAAAAGACATTTCCTAACATAAGAATTTACTGCTATAAATATCCATCTGAACGGTGCTTTAGCTGCAAGCCATAACTTTTAACATGTTGTGATTTTATTTTCATTTAGTTCAAAATATTTTCTTATTTTTCTTCAGACTTCTTCTTTGACCAATGAGTTACTTAGAATTATGTTGTTTAATTTCTAAGAACTTGGGGATTTTTCCAGATGATTTGATTCTTGATTTCTATTTTAATTCCACTAAGGTCAGAGAACATAGTATTATTAGATTTGTGAAGGGTTCTTGCATGGCCTAGGACATGTCTCTTTTAGTGCATGTGTCCTGCAGTGATGTATTGTGTAAATGTCAGTTAAGGAAGAAAGAGCCCAAATGCACCACCTGCTTGGCTGATGTCCGGGCCTCCTCTTCCAGCTGATGGACTCACTCTGTTAGTTGCTGGGAGCACGTTGTTGGACTCTCCAGCCCTGTGGATTCTCCTGCTTGGCTGATGCGCTCACTCTGTTAGTTGCTGGGAGTG